CGGGACCCTCGGCCGGACCCCTCGCCGGTAGCGGGACCCTCGGCCGGACCCCTCGCCGGTAGCGGGACCCTCGGCCGGACCCCTCGCCAGCAGCGGCTCCACCGATGGAGCAGGGCCTCTGCGGTGGCGGGCAGGCGGCACGGCCCCGCAGCCACGACCACGCCCTTTATGCAAATCATCCCACCCTCTCCACCAATGGCGATCGGCGGCGGGGGCGGGGCCGCTCGCCCTGCCCTTAAAGTAACTTGTTGCCAGGGGCCCCGTTTCGCACTGGACGTGGAGCGCGGCGCGGGGCAGCGCGGGGCCCCGGCGGCGGCGGCAGGACCGGCTGCAGCGGGGCAGGGAGAGCGGATTTTGGGCTGAATTCTGAGCGTTTCGTGTCTCTTTCCCTCCAGAACTTATTGATTTCGCTCGTTTCACCCGCGGCTCGGGCGCCCGCGGAGGGTGCGCGGCCCCCGGCGGGCAGAGCGCGCGGCCGGCCCGGCTCCGCCGCCGATGCTCAACATGACCGAGGAGCACGACAAAGCGCTGGAGGCTCCGTGCAGCCCCGCGGGCACCACCAGCTCCATGTCCCACGTGGACTCGGACTCGGACTCGCCGCTCTCCCCCGCCGGCTCCGAGGGGCTGGGCTGCGCCCCCGCACCCGCCCCGCGCCCGCCCGGCGCCGCCGCGCTGGGGGCCAAGGTGGACGCGGCCGAGGTGGACGAGCGCTTCCCCGCCTGCATCCGCGACGCCGTCTCGCAGGTGCTCAAGGGCTACGACTGGAGCCTGGTGCCGATGCCCGTCCGCGGCAACGGATCGCTCAAGGCCAAGCCGCACGTCAAGCGGCCCATGAACGCCTTCATGGTGTGGGCGCAGGCCGCCCGCAGGAAGCTGGCGGACCAGTACCCGCATCTGCACAACGCCGAGCTCAGCAAGACCCTGGGCAAGCTCTGGCGGTGAGTCCCGAGCCGCACGGACCCCCCGCGCCGCGTTCCCCCCGGGGCTTGGCGGCTGGAGCCCCCTTCCAGCGCTGCTTTAAAGCTTCTGCCTGCTTTGTTTTTATTAATCGCTGCTTTTCGGGATTCTCGGAACGATTCGAACTGAAGTACAGCCCCCGCCCCGAGCATCCCGGCGCGCTGTAAAGGACACAGCCGTCCCTGCTCCGAAAAATCCCCCGAGCAAGGGTTTGGGCACCCTTGGGTGGATTTTCCCTGCTCYATCACGGAGATGCACAACCAGGGCTCTTCCCTTGCTTGCGGCTTCCCCATCCCTGGGCGATGAGACTTTTTTAATTACTTGTTTTATGGCTCTTCCTAATTTTTTTTTCTCCTTTTGGCTTGCTTGACGCTTAACAGGCTATAAACGCAACTAAACTCATTTTTAGCAGTTATTTTAACGAGCTTCCTAATTTCCCTGCTTATCTTCTCAGTGCTGCCCAGGGATGCAAACTTTTATTTGCTGGGCAGCATYCGAGCCCGTTTTGCTTTCCAAGGTTCTTCCCCGAGCCACGTTTTTCCCTGTGGTTTGTCCCATGGTGTCTGGCTGTACCTAATTCCCCTCTTTCCTGCCTGCCCGGGCCAGCGACGCTCCCGCTGCGGTTTGAGCCTCTCCAAGAGTTTGCAAAGAGAGGTGTGGGCAGGGGGAAGAGAGTTTGGAAAGCAATAATCCCATCTCTGGTGCCTTCGTGGTTTCTTTGTAAGAACCAAACAAAGCTGGAAATGTTTGTGGCGGTGAGGGGGTGGCATTTACAGGGCGAACATGGGAATTATATTTTGTAATTATGTTGGAAATGGGGAAGGGGGATTTTGTTCTGCCCACTTATACTTGTCCATAGTGGTCGAGTTTTTCATGCCCCTGTAGCTGGTATTTTAATGTGATTTTTTGCTGTGAACTTTAACTCTTTTTTTGCCACAGCAAGTCAAATTAATTTTGTAATGAACTTGCTGAGTGCTCAAATCAGTACATGGGAAATGGAGATATGTGAGTCTGAAAGCAAGCTGAAAACTTTAAAGAAAGAGGCACTAATTATGGATTTTTTTTCTCTCTCTCTTCCTTATTAAAACATCGACCCCCCAAATCAGTTTATTGAGCGAAAACGAGAAACGTCCCTTTGTGGAAGAAGCCGAGCGGCTCAGGGTGCAGCACAAAAAGGATCACCCGGATTACAAATACCAGCCCCGGAGGAGGAAAAGCGTCAAAGCCGGGCAGAGCGACTCGGACTCGGGCGCCGAGCTCAGCCACCACGCCGGGACTCAGCTCTACAAGGCCGACACAGGGCTGGGGGGCATGGCCGACTCCCACCACCACGGCGACCACACAGGTAAAGGGCGAAATTCCTGACATCTGGGGTGGGATGGGAGCCCACTGCCTCTCGCTGGGAAAGCCAAAGGCAGCAGCTGTTGTCCCAAGAGCCGTGCTTGGGAGAGTGGCCATGGTTTTCCTTAGTAAAAGCCCTAGGACTGCCTGTGCCATAGGGAATCCCCAAAGTGCTGGGATCGTGGTCTCGCTGGAGTGGGGAGAATGGATTGGGARCTAACAGGGTTAATAAGCAGGGTGCCCAGAGAGCGGGGTCCCGGAGCTTCCCGGCACTGTGAATTGGCGCAGGGAGCACGTTGACAGATTCCAGGAGGATTGAAGTCCTGCAGCTTCAGATGCTGCCCTGCTCTCTCCCAGCCTGGCTGGGGATCCCGCCCTGGATCCCTCTGCCTCAGGAGAGCCGAGCTGGCCTCATGCTGCCCGTGGGGAGAGGACGAGCTCCATCATGGAGCCGTGTCACAGAGCTTGCCCTCCAAATCCGCCCCAGTTCTGCTCTCCAGGCATGGGGGAGTTTGTGCAGCCAGGGTGTCCTGCTGTGTCCCAGAGCGATCCCGCTGGGCTCAGCGTGCTCCCAGCTTCATCCCATCACCCGTGTGGGAGGCTCATTCCAGGGGGGACACGGTCCCAGGGGGACATCACCCACAGCCAGCACAGTGCCGCGGATTTAAATCCCTCTTGCCAYAAGAGATGAGTGAAACTTTTATTTAATGGTGGAGTTGGGAGTTTTGTGGTCACTGTTAAATCCACGCTGTCTCTTCATCCCCAGGCCAGCCCCACGGGCCCCCCACACCCCCCACCACCCCCAAAACCGACCTGCACCACGGCGGCAAGCAGGAGCTGAAGCACGAGGGCCGGCGCCTGGTGGAGAGCGGCCGCCAGAACATCGACTTCAGCAACGTGGACATCTCGGAGCTGAGCAGCGAGGTCATCAACAACATGGAAACATTCGACGTGCACGAGTTCGACCAGTACCTGCCCCTGAACGGCCACGCGGCGCTGCCGGCCGAGCACGGCCCCGCCGCCGCCTCCTACAGCAGCTCCTACCCGCACTCGGGCGCGGGCGCGGCCGCCCAGGTGTGGACTCACAAGAGCCCGGCCGCGGCATCGCCRGCAGCGGCCGAGCCGGGCCAGCAGCAGCAGCAGCGGCCGCACATCAAGACGGAGCAGCTGAGCCCCAGCCACTACAGCGAGCAGGCTCACGGCTCCCCCGCGCCCTCCGACTCGTACGGCTCCTACGGCGCCCAGGCCTGCGCCACCTCTGCCGCGCCCGCCGCCGCCGCCGCCTCCTTCTCCAGCTCGCAGTGCGACTACACGGACCTGCAGAGCTCCAACTACTACAACCCCTACCCCGGCTACGCCTCCAGCATCTACCAGTACCCCTATTTCCACTCGTCCCGCCGGCCCTACGCCACCCCCATCCTCAACGGGCTGTCCATCCCGCCGGCGCACAGCCCCACCGCCAACTGGGAGCAGCCGGTCTACACCACCCTGACGAGGCCTTAAAGGATTCTCCGAGCCTCTGGAGGCTTTCCCGGAATTATGCACTAATGAAGGAATGGAGGAGGAAGAGCGTGGAGTGCYGCCGTCGCTTCCAAAGTGCCTCCTGAGCCGCTGGGAACTCTTGCTCGTCCCCTTGCTTCGAAACGCTCTGAAAGGACAGAGCTCTGTTTTGCTTCGATTCGTAGGATTTCAGAAATTCAAAAGAAAAAGAAAAAAAAAACAAACAAAAGACAAAAA